AATTAAATTTATAGGACAGTTTCTCAAAAGTGTCTTATAAAGTTGCTAATGCGACACTTTGTATAAGAAAATGTCCTTAAAAACTTGTTAGGACGCCCAAAAGCGTCATATAAACTTATTACAACGCCATTAGATATGACGCTTTATATTTTGGTCATATAAATTAAATCTTATAAAACAGTATATTGGGACACTTAGAGATTTGGGGTATCCTATAAACCCAATTTTGTTGTAGTAATTGTTCTCTTTCAAACTTGGAAATGGCACAATTTTACTTTTATATAATGCAAGACATATGTATTATTTCAAAGGCTAATTTAATATTTTAATTTGTAATTTTCTAAGGGAGCGTCAGCCAAAAGATAAGGGGAAAAATCGCACAGACTTAATATGATATAGAAGTTCCTATTAAGTCTGTTTATTACTCTTTTTAGATGGACATGACATTCAAAAAGATTGAAATGACCCTAAAAACTGCAACTGAAAAGATACCCAAACATGTTTCGGCATTTATGAATTTTTATTAGATCTGATTTAATCCGATTTGAAAGTTTAACCCCATGAATTGTGTTCAAAATTGTTGTTTTTTATTATAAACTTTGTCTAATTTAACTTTAAAAAATGAAGTTCTTTTTATTCTTATTATATTTGCATAACTTATAATATAAAAAATACAGAATTTTGAGTTTGAATAATTGTCAAAAAAATAAATAATTCGTTTTTGCATAGTCGGAATCTTGCACGAACTTCCAAAAATTACATTTAAAGAATACATATTTTTATTATTGGATCGTGTATTATCTTGCAATAAAAATATAACTGTTTTAGCAAAAGATTGTATTTATTTTAAGATCAATAAAATATAATTTATTACTAAAGGTCATTTGGCCTAGTGGTATGTGAGGAGGGTGTGTGAGTTTATTTCTTTTATTTACCGTATATAAATATTATATACTTCAAAAAAAATAGAATTTATTTAAATTTATTTAAATTTATTTTGAATAGAAAAACATAGATGAAAAATCATTCAACCAACAGACCTAAAATTCTTATCGAGTGGTTGTATCTTTAAGGTATATTAAAGATCTGTAAAGTTGTCATGTTTCTTTAATTGAAATTCATCGTTTTAATAGATTTAAAAAAATTAATTGATTTTGAGTTGCTTTTTTGGTTGATTTATAAAGAACATTTTCAGTTTTTTGCTTGATGTCTGCTGTATTTTTTTTAAAGTGAACTTTTATTCATACAACCTCTTAGAGGGGTATCTGAGTGAGATAGAGAATAACAACTAGATGTATGTGATTGAGGGATATAAATTGCAATCACTACAACAAAATCGGGTTTATAAGACACTATCAAATTCTAAGTGTCTTAATAGACCTCTTTATAAGACCAAAAAAATAAAGTATCCTATCTAAAGGTATTGTAATAAGTTTATATGACGTTTTTTGACGTCGTAACAAGTTTTTAGGACATTTTTAATATAAAGCGTCCTATTATCAATTTTATAGGACACTATTTGAAAAATTGTTCTATAAACACAAATGTCCTATAAAAAATTGAGTTTATAGGACACTTTCTGAAAAGTGTCCTACAAAGTTGTTAATGCGATACTTTGTATTAAAAATGTCCTAAAAAACTTGTTAAGACGCCCAAACGCGTCATATAAACTTATTACAACACTTTTAAATATAACGTTTTATATTTTGGTCTTATAAATTAAGTCTTATAAAATGGTCTATTAAGACGTTTAAAAATTAAGAATGTCCTATAAACCCAATTTTATTATAGTGAACCTCTTTTTAATATCTAAAAAACCCTATTTTTTTTAACATATGCACCTTTTATATCTAATTGATATTCTACTTACGAAAATTAATTTACAAAAAATTAGTTGGTGACTTCATAGGTCCCTCCATGTTCACAAGTATCATATACATATACATACATATACATATACATATACATACATATACATATACATATACATATACATATACATATATATATATATATATACTGAAATGACCATATGTTTTTTATGTGAATCTCATAGAAAAAATATGGACATAGAGATACATTAGAATTAAAAAATGAAAAAAATGAAATCAGGAAATTGTCGTATGTGGCAGTCAATTATTGGTGTTGGGATGATAATTGGACATTATTATTACAAATAATTCCAAAAATATAGTGTACAAAAATACAAGTATACGCCATCACCAAGATAACATTTTTTTTTCTTCCAATAATACCCAATACCTCATGCACACCCCTTTGTTCTTTAGTAAACCCTCAATAACCCCATCTCACAAATCATTTTGCATCTTTTCTTCAATCATTTTTCCGTAATTATCATATTTTTCTCGATATCTGATGTAGATCGTGTGTTTGATATTGTCGCAAACATGGATTTTTGAAAATTTATAGCTTCAAATTTTCAACACATCGTGTATATGCTCGTATTGCAATCGTCTGTATAACTAAGGATTGCCATTTATTTTATCTGACAATTATAATCCCTGTACACCATGCATAATCTTTTAAGTAACATATTAACATCTTGATTCGTCGATTCCTCCTTTGTCTTTTACCATGACGATACTTATAATTTTATTACCTTAAACTTAACTAAATCCAAATTAGCAAGTCCAAGGTTGCAGCCTTGGTTAATGTTCAAACGACTATACCCATCATCGTAAAAGAAAAAGAGACTGCTCTGTATAACTTGGTACGTAATTAATTATCGGTAGACCCTATAAAAATCTAAATATACCGAAAACTATCAAGATACATTAATTGTTCCATAGTTCATATGATGTGCCCACAAAGATTGTGCACGATGATTTCACCTTGTTGTACATTAAATGCTTTTGCTTTGATATCCCAGAAAATAAGAAACATGGCTATTGTATAAACAAGTGACAGAATATCACTAGCTGCTATTTCCAAGGTCTTTCTTTAAAGATAAATAATGATACGAATTAAATTCAATAATATTGTATTATTGAATATTATGCACACTACCAATACTAGTGTAAAAAATTCACGAAATAATCTTCACTATGAGAATGATAAGGTGAATATATATACTAGAATACGGGACATTGGTATAAAATAGCTAGACCAAAATCAAATAGAACGTGAGATTAGAGGACAAAGACAAAAATAAATTAGGTTGCGGTGGAATGTCGCTACGTAAAACCCTAATTTTGTTTCAAACATTTTATTATATGTTTCATGTGTATATAGTTTTTTGACTCATTTCAATTGTCATTCATACTCAATAGTGACAAAGGAGTAGCAACAACGGGGGCATATATAGTTGTTGATCCTAAACTTAAAAGTCTCGTTAGATATATTATCAAGACATCTAAGGACGTTTGAACATCCAAAAAGACTCGTTTTATTTTGATAACATAAAGACCATATTTGATACTACAACCCAACTTTTTTTTATTCTTCAACCCAACTTTTTTTTATTAATTTGGATATCCAACCCGCTATGCGAGCCGACTAATCTCAAGACGACCACATATTTTACAAATAGCCTGAAGTCACCGTATTGAAACATCCATAGCCAAAAGGCGATTTTTATATCTCTTTGAATTTGAAACATGACGTAAGGATAGATAAATAAGTGAATATTACAAAGTGAAAACAGATATTCATCCATGGGAAATCTTGAATATGGTAAGCCAATCACAATTGTCTCATGTGTCTTATTGCCATTAGAATATATAATAATTCCAAGAATAGACCATACATCAAGATAACCTTTTTGCCCCCATAAATACCCACAATTACCCAACTTCAAAGCCACACTCTTTCTTCCTCACTTCTCTTCCTCAGTAAACCTGTCCATCGCCATGGCTACTCCTGATGACACCAAACAGAAGCCATGCGACAAGTCGTTTTGCGAGGATTACCTGCTACTAAGCCCAAAAGATGTAGGATTATGGGATCTGATTATGCTTTTATTCTCCAAACATATTGGAGACAGGAAGTTCATCGACTGTCCAGATGGAACTGTTGAAGAAAGCTTCGCACAAAGATTTGTAATCTTCATATCCATCGTCGTCCAAAAGCTCTGCCATTTAATTTATAAGCCATTGGCTTGGCTTGGCTCACTTATCGAGTTTCTGGCCAACTTTTTGAATGACAATGGTGGCTTCCGCATGGTGGTTTGGAATATCTTTCGAGGTATATATATAGATATATATGTTCAGGCTCCATACATTCTTCGTTTCTTTAATTAGATCATATGATTCTTGTTGATAAAAGACAACATAAGCTAGAACAAAATGTGTTTTACTGGACGTCAAGTATGTTTAAATGTTCGGGCTATCTGCAAAGTAGGTGGTCGCTCTCGGATTAGTCCGCTCGCATAACGAATTGGATATCAAAGTTAATAAAAAAAAATTATGTTTAAATGTTCTAAAAGACTTCTTTAATTATATATGTTTATAAGACCAAACAATTATATATCTTACATAAAAGTGTTACAATAAGTTACTGGTTTGGGGCATCCCAAAAGTCTTACAGTTTTCAGATAGTTTTTTTATATGACAGTTTTTAGAAATGTTTTAGAAGCATGTTTTTATAAGACATTTTTTCACATAATGTGATATAAAAAATACTAATATGATACACAAAAATTTGACTCTATAAACTTAAGTCGATTTTAACATATTAATTTCACATACTATAAATATGATTTTATTGTGGTATAAGAGAGAACGTATTTTGTGAATCCATAACAAATTGTTGATGTAATTGTAGCAATATTAATTGCTTATAAATCTATCACATATAAAGATGATTCTAGCAAATGTATTTACAAGTGTATTTTGTTCGACGAATGTGGTGCAGACAAACTCGTGTTACCTGATAGAGAATCGGCGCAATTTTCGTCTGTGATTGGGTTATTGGACATCCGAAAGGACTTGGACGCTAGAATCAAGCCTCAAGACCCTAGATACAATAGCGCACTTTCTGTTATGGCTGCTAAAGTTGCATACGAAAACGAAGCCTACATCAGGGACACCGTCGAGAACCATTGGAGGGTATATCAACTAGCCCTTTTATCGATCGACATCGTCATTATTGTTTGTTATTATTAAGTTAAACTCTCCTAATTACCGGTAATTTGATTTCTATAGATGGAGTTCTTGGGATTCTTTGATTTTTGGAACGGTAATTACTCATGAAACAACGTTTATTTTTGTTATTAAAAACGAACTATTTTGGGTGAGGATATCTTTTACTTTGGTCGAATTAATTAAGTAACCTTAACTAGCTAATTAAACATGTTAATTGTAGATTATGAGGAGGATTACACCACACAAGCGTTCATGTGGAGCGACAAGACTGGGGATACTGAGGTCATTGGTGTTTCGTTCAGAGGCACGTCGCCTTTCAACTCTAAAGACTGGTCTACAGACGTTGATCTTTCATGGTACCACCTCCCTGGTATCGGCAAGGTCCATGCTGGTTTTTTAAAATCCCTAGGGTTACAAAAGAGCGAAGGTTGGCCAAAAGATATCCAGTCAAATGTCGATAAACCCTATGCTTACTATGTTATCAGACAAATCCTTAAAGAACGGCTTGAGGAAAACCCTAAGGCAAAGTTCATCGTAGCAGGACACAGTTTGGGAGCCGCATTAGCGATCGTGTTTCCAGCCATTTTGGCACACCATGAGGAGACTGATTTGCTAGAGAAACTAGAAGGGGTTTATACATTTGGACAACCTAGGGTTGGAGATCACAAATTTGGTGAATACATGAAAGATGTGTTGGTAACTCATGGATTGAGGTACCATAGGTTTGTTTATTGCAATGATTTGGTGCCCAGAGTCCCCTTTGATAGCTCTGATGTCTATTTCAAACACTTTGGTGAATGCTATTATTACAACAGCTTCTACAATGGACAGGTAATCAATCGATCTCTTGGTCAAATGTATATACATTTCACCTCTTAAATTTTACTTTCGAGTAGGACTTACTAAGTTTGGTTTTTTTTTATCAAAGATGTTGTGTGAACTAATTGCTTCACTCATACAGGTACTCACTGAAGAACCAAACAAGAACTACTTCTCGATATTTGCTGTGATACCGATGTTTATAAATGCGGTCTGGGAGTTGCTTAGGAGCTTCATTATCCCGTATCAAAGTGGACCAGAGTACTATGAAACGGTTCCTTGTCGAGGATGGAGGTTGATCGGGTTGGTGATTGCGGGATTATCCGCTCATGGTCCACAGGACTACGTTAATCTCACTAGATTGGGTCCTGCGGAACTGTTTTGAGCTTTCATCCACAGATGATCACTCAACAACGTTTGGTCAAATAAGTGAACTCGATGGTGATCACAATTAATCTCGCAATTATTATGCATCTTGCAATTGAATGTTTGTGTTAAGAATTAAACAATTTGATTAAATAAGTATTTTATGTAGTTTTTATGTCGAAATAAGTGTAACGACTTCTCTTTAAGATGTTGTATGTGCTTTTCTATTTTAATAAAATTGTAAGTCATAATTATCGTATTTCATGGTAATTATCTTAAATCTTGATTTTATTTTGAGATTATTGTTAAACATTTGTTGTAAAAATAGTCATTTTAATTTTAAGAATACTTTCTTAAATAAATATATTTTAAAAATCAAGTAATAAAATTTCTTAATTATAAAATTAATTACATATTATATCCATTGTAGTTCTAAAGTTGTTTCATTATTTTTATTTTTATTTTGGTGTTCAATAGATCTGGTCAAAATATTGAAAAAATCCATTGCACATGATATATAAAGAATGGAAGAGCGTATATATTTGTTCTTAAATAAGATATAATCGATGGACAAACACATAGACAGGATCTATATAATAAAATTTTAAGAAGAACCTTATATATACTATATTATAAAATATTTGACAACAACTCTTAAAACCATTTTTAAGCATGAAGTACTCTTTATTGATGCATATTACTTAAAATTTAAAATTACAAGTAAATTATGCATAAATACAATTTATTAAAGCTCCATATTGAATTTGTGTAACTAACTGCAGATAAACATAATCAAATACTGGATAAAAATCTCATTTTAAATATAAAAAATCTAAAATATAATTAGGATAATTATTGAATTATAACAAAATACTTAGTTTTTATATTTATAAAAAAATAATTAATTAAATCTAAATTAAATTACTTCATTACTAAACCTAAATTAAATTATAATAAAAAAAATTTGAATTAAGAAAATCACACCAATTTTTTTTTCAAAATTTTATGATATTTTCAAATTTATATTTTATTCAAAAATAAAACATTATCGCGTTATCAAAACCACATAAAACCATATTATATCGACATAAAAAAAAACAAAACAAAACATTGAAATCGAGATATGTCTCAATAGATTGCACGAGTACTCTTCTAGTATATATATATTAAAGTTGATGCCAATTACAATCAAAAGAATTTAAGTTATGATGTATTTGAAGAACATTCCACTGGTATTACCGGTAGATGTCATACTTTTTTTGGAATTTGATCAATTATGGCGCAAAATACGTTGAAATAGAATATATATTGGTTCGGTTTCTCTTTTGAGAAACCATGTTCGGAAAGCCACATAAAGTATATAGTTTGCAAATTTGCCCGTTTTAGTATCCAATGTTTATTTAGTATACATGAAACCTAACGTGTTTGAAAATACATTCATTAATATAAGATTATGACTCCCAATCAACTTCATTAAAGAAGTTTTGTCAGCTTGTTCGAAATTAGAAATTAATTTTTATAATTACACAAGAAAAAATTAAATCTAATCCAACCCTAATTTCAAAACTTTAACATCCAATCCAAGTATTTCTCTTCACAATTGCTAGCGGATTATTTATAATTTTAGTAGCATTTTTTCTTGATTTGATGAATAAAACACAAGTTATGAATGCGTGTGAAATGATAGATTTGAACAAATTCGTATTAAAATAATGCAAAGTAATCGTTCCTCTGAATTAAAAATAATCCTTTTAAATGGTTATCGTCTTTTTAAAATTTGATTTGCAATGATTATGGTCTTTTTATATAGTTTATTTCAAATGACAAAATATTTAAAGTAATTACTTCTATCATTGAGTATTATTTAATAAATTGCTAGAATTAAGTTAAGAAGAGACACATTAGAATTTCGCTTCTTAAATAATCTGATTTATAAAAGGCTAATTATAACCCGTTATGCGAGCCGATTAATCGCAGGGCAACCACCTGTTTTGTAGATAGCCCGGAGTCACCATATTTGAACTTCCGTGGCCACAAGAGGATTTTTATTCATTATTGGATTTGAACCTGGAACCTTCTGATACTTTTGACCTTTGGAGCCAAGTTCAAACCAATCAGGCATCACTCTTGTGGTTAAAATAATAAAATTATTATTATTATTATTAAAAAATGTATTTTTAAAAGGTTAACTTAAACTATTATCAAATTAGTTAATGTTTTTCTTTCTAATTTTATAAAAAAAATGTTAATTTATGAAATGAAATGATAGAAAAAAATTTATTTTTATTTTTATTTCAAAAAATATAATGAATGTAATTTTGAATATTTACAAATATTATAATAGTATAACAAATGTAATACGTGGAAAAACTTTTACTAGTGAGACCGCCCTCGTTGACTAATCAAGTCAACACCCTATTCAACATTGTGCTTAATATTTAATTACTACTTTATCAATTATATATTTAAATATATCAGAAGGGTACTCACACAATACAGCGAAATACATCTCGATTTCAATGTTCCGTCTTGTTTCTCTTTTTGTCTCAGTCGTTGTTATAATACGGTTTTATATGGTTTTTAATTAAAATGTAAATATGAAGATATCATAAAAAATTGAAAAAAAAAAACATTGATATTAATACCAAACTAACTATTTAAATTTTTTTCATTTTTTGTGTATTTCTTTAATTCAGTTGCTTATAATGACTAAGACAACAGCACTAACACCACCATGGTTTCAACACCCTCTATATCTATTTTTTCGACACCACAATAACGGAGAGACCAATGGTAGCACCACCATTGGTTTAACGTCACCATCTTGTCTTTGCTTCTACTCGTCTGTTCTTATATCTTCTATGTCTCCCGTCACACACATAAAAAGTTTCAAACAGACGTGTTATACAACGTCGTCATAGCGGATGCGGTCAACGGCTATCACCTACAATGGTGTTGTCTCCAAAAAAATTCAAAGATCCCTCTCACATCACCAAAATGGTCATTTTTGTTCATCCATACTATTTACTCAACCTAATAAACAAATTACAATTCAACTTAATTCATATAGATGACTTAATACAACTATACTTAATTAAAAAAAAAAAAAAAAAACTCTGATTTTTTTATTTAAATATCTTTATATTTTAATCAAATTTAATTATATAATAATTTGATAAATATGATTAGCAGCCCTACTTGACCCTTAATTATTCATCAACCCAAAATTAAAAAACCCAAAAAGAAAAAGCTAACAAAAAAAGCACCGAGTTTTAATTCTACAACACTCGATACCAAAATCACCAAGATTTTATTCTCTTTGTCTTCAAAAATCCATATTTAAATCACAATGGTGGTGCCTGATTGGTTTAAATTTGGCTCCAAAGATCAAAAATATCATGTTTAAATCCAAAGAGGAATAAAAATCACCTTGTAGCCACAGAGGTTCAAATACGATGACTCCGGGCTATCTGCAAAACAAGTGGTCGTCATGAGATTAGTCGACTCGTATAGCGGGTTGGATATCTAAGTTAATCAAAACAAAATTTCATATTTAAACAACTATTTTTATGAAATTTAGTATTATAGAATATAAATTAAAATAAAAAATTGGTTAATCAGGTCCATAAACCTGCATATTAATTAGACTCATAACCTACACCAACTCTTTAGTTGGTCCTACGTTAGCCATCTATGTGGACGAATCATAATTATATATACACACATCTATATATATATATATATATATATATATATCTATATATATATATTGCGCGTGCTTGTAGTAGATGAGGCGACTAGCGTGGACTTGAATTTATAAGCTGCTTCTTCTTCCTCAAAGTTTCATTTCTCTTCTCAGTTTGAGAATAATTTGAACTTAGTTACAGATTTGATCGATAAAATGGTGTGCGACAAGAGCTTTTCGAGCAGTTACATGCTGCTCAATCACGAGGAGGTTGGCGTTGTCGATCTTGTTCACATGTTGCGATCAAACGATATCGAGAACAGGAAGTTTGTCGATTGCCCCAAAGGGACGACCGAGGACAAGTTCAGGCGGAGATGGTTAATTTCCATGTCCGTTTTGGCTCAAAAGATTCTTAAATCGATTGCGGGACCATTGGCTGCTACTGGCTCTGCTATCGAGTATTGGCTCAATCTTGTGGCTTGTAATCGTAATCTTGGTGGTCTGATCTCGAATTTCGTAAGAGGTTAGTTTTGATATACAGTTATAATCAGATTTTTGGAACGTGTGTTATTTACTTTTTAGCATTAACAAAATAATCCAAATTTTTTAAAAGTGGTGTTATGGTCAATTAAATTTATTTGTCACGATAATATTAGGGCTTATAAAGTAAAAATGTTAATATGTAAAGAAAATATTAGATCAAATCACCAAATTAGAGGTGAAAAAAATGTCCAAGCCCAAAGTTAGTCCGAGAAGCCCATATCTATCAAACCCAAGCGAGATCTTAAAGCCCAATTAGTGATGGCCAAAAACCGGTGTCGGACCGGTCCTTACTTGTCCCGGACCTCAATAGATCCGGCCATAACCAGTCCCGCTTCCGGTCGAAAAAGGTGAGTTCGGTCAAGCTTTATGGACCGCCGGTCCCGGTCATTTAAAAATGTTTTTTTTTAATGATATATGTTTTTAATATACTATAAATTTTGAATTAGGTCACTCAAATACACTTTAAAAATGCATTTTATTATAATTAAAATGACGTTATCTTACAAAATATAACGAGAAATCGAAAATTGTGAACGTTTTTTTGCGTTTTATGCGAATCGAGAACTTGGTATGTAAACCCTTCAACCAAGACACTTATATATGGTATTTAGAAGGCAAAAAATACAAAAAACGGTGATAAACGGCTAGTATTTTGAAAAATAACGGCTACATTTAAAAAAACAGCTACATTTTTGAAAAATCAGACAGGGCTGGGCCGGTCCATAACCGGTACCGGTCACGGTCCGCTAAACACCCCAAATCTATATCCAGTCCCAGATTTCGGTCCTATAACCGGATCCTGGGCCGGTCCAAAACGGTTTGGCCATCACTAAGCCCAATTAGGCCAACTTTGTATTTCAAAGTCCGACGCCCCGACCTGAAACAACTGAAAAAGCCATGTTAAAAAAAGGCCGACCAAATATGAAAAATATTGATAACGTGCTTCAGAGGCCCGAGTCCTTGCCCAAAAAAGCCTATACATTATGAATATCTAAGCCAAACTAAAACAGTGTTTCTATTTTGGCCATTGGTAAGTTGAATGACGTCATCATTTGTCAAAAAACAAAAAGAACCCCTTTCGAAGTCGATTCATTCGTCAAATCGTGCATTGAAAATATAAAAAGACAAGTTCAGTATTGTAGTGTGTGATTGCAAATTCTTTAAAAGATTAGGAATAGAAGTAGGTTCACTTAGAATAACTCAAATACAATCTATGTAACCAATGATTTTATCACAATGGCAATACGATGGATGAGTCCTAAGTTCCATTTGGTTATTATTTTGTAGGGGAATTGATCCGTCCGGAAAAAACATCGGCGACGTTCTTATCATTCACCGGAAATCTAGACAAACGAGTGGAGTTGGATAAAAGCATCGTCGAATGTGGAGATAGAGATAGATATAATAGCTTTCTTTCAATCATGGCTGCTAAAGCTTCCTATGAGAACCATGCTTATCTTCAATATACCGTCACTGATCTTTGGAAGGTACCACCTAATGTTTTCAAGAAGAACAAAAAGGCTTTGATCTGATTCATAATAAGTTTTGAAAGTACGTTAATTATCATAATAGGAATCAGAACAAAGTATCTTGCATTTCGTACGACAATTTGCCGACAACGAAGTTATATAAGTTTCTTGCTTGCAGTGCTTCGGTTTCTTGATCAAATGATGTCTTTGTGACCCAACGTTTTGATTATTGCAGATGGAATTCATGGGGTCTTTTGATTTTCAGAATGGTAATTAATACATCTCTATTTCTTTCTTGTTATATAAATATAAATGGTATCAAGAAAAGGCTGTGAAATAAAAAAAACCGAACCTTCACAGCAAAAATACTGTGAAGGTTACTTTCACAGCCTTTTGCTGAAAAGTTTCAAGTGTAAAAAAATGGTCTCACGGATAGAAAACATGTTCGTCTCACGTGATCCCAAGTATATATATATATATATATATATATATATATATAATTGTATTATGGTGTTGAGTTTTCTTGATCATATGTATAAAAACAAAATCGCATTAAATACTTTTTTAGGATGCCCAGTGACTATTGCACATCCTATATAACCTATTTTCTTGTAGCAGATCCCTAAATTAAACACGTTATCTTATACGATATTTGTATATCTTATGAAGATTATCAAGGGAAACCCACAACGCAAGCCTTCATGTTTCGTGACAAAAAAGACGATTCTGACATGATCATTGTTGCCTTCAGAGGAACCGAGACTTTCGATGCAGATGCATGGAGTTCAGACGTCGATCTATCTTGGTACGAACTCCCTGGCATCGGGAAAGTGCATGGGGGGTTCATGAAAGCCCTAGGGTTACAAAATAGTCACGGTTGGCCCACAAAACCAACCAGTCAAACAGACAATCAAGAACTGTTCGCGTATTACGCCATTAGAGACATGCTAAAAGAAGCTTTGAAAGCAAACAAAAACACCAAATGTATAATAAGTGGCCACAGCTTAGGTGGTGCACTAGCAATACTATTTCCAGCAGTTTTGATGTTGCATACAGAGAAGGATGTATTAGATATGATCGAGGGTGTGTATACATTTGGGCAGCCAAGGGTAGGGGATGAAGAATTCGGGAAGTTTATGAACGAGAAGATGAAAGAACATAAAGTGAAGTATTATAGGACTGTTTATAGCAATGATATGGTGCCTAGATTACCTTATGATGATTCCACCATGATGTTTAAGCACTTTGGGACTTGCTTATACTTTGATAGCTTCTATAATGGCAAAGTAAGCCTCTCTCTCTCTCTCTCTCTCTCTCTCTCTCTCTCTCTCTAGACATCCTAAAACGACCCTAATTTGTTTTAGTGGTTATGTTTCTTTTTACAAAGTTGTTGCTACTCGACAACATGCAACTAGGTTTCTAATGTTAAACCTTTGTTGGTGGTGCAGATTGTGGAAGAAGAACCAAACAAGAATTACTTCTCTTTATTATCAGCGATACCTAAGATGATAAATGCGGCATGGGAGATCATAAGAAGCTTTGTGATCCCGTATACAAAAGGCGCAGACTACAGTGAAGGGGGTCTTCTTAAAATGTATAGAATAATCGGGTTGATAGTTGCTGGGATTCCGGCTCATGGTCCTCAAGATTATGTCAATGCTGTTCGATTGGCTTCTTCAGAGTTATACAAAGATCATGAGATGATGAATAACGAAGAAACACATATTATGATTGAAGACGAAACCTTAAAGTAATACGGATTTCATTATTTTTTGAAACGTTTGGAATTGAACATCTTCCTGCAACTTATTTATATGATTTATAAGGAAGTAAGATGTAATTATATGGAAAAGAAATCAAATTTTGTCGAAATGTTTGTGACTTTTGTATATGCTTTTTGTTTCTTACATGTTGTTTAATCATCTCAATAATTATGAATTTAATTATGATAAAATATTACTGATTTTATCCATTCACTTATTTTACTCGATCAATCTGTTTGGAGATGAGAGTCTTACCCGATAAGAGACACAAGACATAAAATAAAAGTCGTAAAAGCTAAGAGTGACGACTCTTATTGTTGAGTGTTTACCAGGAAAAATTGTTGGATACAATATCATTTTTAAAAGGTGCAACTGCTTGATTTTGAGTACTTTTATATACTTTGGAACCAAATTTATAATGGAAATTAAATTAACATGGGTGGGATGGTTTGGCACTACAAGAGGTTACATACGGGTTTGAATTTTATTTCAAGTAAAAGTTTAATTTTTTGTCTTTAACATATATTTATTTTAAAGATCAAGTTCATTTGACAAGATGTATTTTATTTCTTAAATCAACACAATTGACTCTATTCTAGTCAAACTGCATCGACTTTCCCTCAGGTTAAACCGCTTGGAGAACCAGCAAGAAGACATTTATCCCCAGGCTTCCTCAAGAAGCAACCGGACCACTACTTTGGAAGATTTGATGTCCCCAAGGTGGTAAAGAGGCATGTTTGATACCTTCTATTTGATGTATTTTATCTTATTGTAATCGCGTATTTGACGTAGGATCCCAAAAGAAGTGGTCATAGGGGTTTGGTTTCGTCACATTTGCTAAAGAGGGTGTTGCAAGTCGTGTTACACGAAGATCACAAGAGATTTTTGGGCATCAGGTACTCAGAGGAGATATATGACTATAGTTTTTCCAGAGTAATGTTATGTGAAACCTAAATTGGATTCTAAAACCTTTTGTATACTGTAGAAATTCAAAACACTTCATTAAGACATTCTAAACATAACACTTTCGTAAATTAAGAAACGGAATAATACCATTAACAAAAACAAGTAGAAAGAACTTTATGATGAAATAACCATCTATTTTACCACATTTGTTATTTAGCAATTTATAACATCCAAGAACCGAGTTTATACAATTCAACCATGAAATGAATCATAAAAACATTTGGCTTTGGAAAATTCATAACAACTAGTTCTCATTCGGAAAAACAATGATGATAAACTACATATGGCTTCAAACCAACTTCTAGTTGATGGGAAACATTAAGAATCACATCTTGAGATGGAACTTCGTTAGAAGTTTGGATTTCGTATGTAAAGGCTAGGCTTTTTTGTCTTGAAGAAATACTTATGAGAATATGTTGAGCGATAAACATCCCTTAGAACTCGAAGGTGAAAGATAACAAGTAAAATGACGGGTCCGGAAGAAAATACACTGATAACAATTGGTACCCAAATCAAGTTGTTAAGATAAAGAACAAAGAAGCTGACACTAAAAGCGACCATCATGGCTACGATAGAGATAGAAAGGGTTACTAGGCCGGTCATTAGTATCATGGGCAATGAGTCCAAGAAATCTTGTTCAGAGTAGGTAGTTATGTGGACATATAAAAATATGAGGATCGAAATGGAAGAGAATATCAAAGAAACAGCGTCTGCTATGACAAAGACTATGAAAATTCTTTTATGAAGGAACATAGGAATACCGTTGTCTTGATTGTATCCACCAGGAACCATAAAAGCTGCTGCAAAGACAATGGTAGCTATAAGCGCGGAAACGACCATAGATTGACTAGCCGTATCTTTCATCCACCTCTCACCTTCAAACAATAGCCTTTTGTGCTCCTCGGAGAACAAATTACGTGGTGTTTGACGTGCATTGTTCTTACTTTCTCGACAAGCAGGAGGGAGCGTATTTTCTACTTCCTACACCAAAGAAGGTTAGATCATTTTCATCAGGTTTATATTCAGAATGCAAAAGAAAAAAGTCCCTTAATTTTATAACCATATATGGATTTTGAAACAAACATATGTTAGCAATGCCACAAGACATATACATTTGACATCACTTATGACTGCACCAAAATAAGTACTGAACAAGCGCTTAACATAAGTAATGTATGTGTGTTTTAAACTAACAATTATTAATGCTCACTAGAGACGTACCAAATAAGACTAATTGTTGTTATAACTAGTTTTTGGTTGGGCGAAATGAAGGAAGAAAGATCATCCTACATATAATGCTAATGTCCTAGAATTTTGGCGATAAACCAGTACCTTGAACCATAGCAATTCGCGTTGCATATGCAAAGCAACCCCTGAAACGTCTCCGAGTCGCTTTATCTTTGGACATTTCCCAACCAAATGTAACATATTATTTCCTGACTGGTCCTTGAGAGGCATTATAACATCCTTCATTGAGCCTATCTCATTTAGAAGACTGTAGATACCCTGATGACGATATTTGACAGCAACATGAAATATACTTCTGTTTTTATCATTTCTCTTCCATAATATATCAGGATATTGGCGAATGAGCTCAACTACAAATTCAGTGTTCCCCATTTTGGCAGCTAGGAACAGTATCCCAGAAGTGTACTTTCGCACGCCACCTTGTATTTTAGCTGGCCCTCTAATGATGTCATCAATTTCTGCATCGGACAATGTCAAAACTTTGTTCCAAATGATTCTTACTAATTTCATGGCATCACTCGGTTTATTAGCAGGTCCAACCTTCACATGAATGATTGCAAAAACTGAAATAAAACAAGCACATATATATATATATATATATATATAAGAAACCAAGTAGAGGGCATGCACCAAATACTTAAATTTGAGTAAAATGGATAAGTAAATATAACAGGAGATTAGGAGTAGAGATATTCACTGCAACGAATGACTCTCCAAATAAAATTCGGTTTTATTTCTCTACAATCTTTCGTTTTTCGTGCCAAAACACCGAGTACGCTTCCGGTTTTCGCGAGTTCTGGCCTGTGAGTCACTATCTGGAGAGCAATATCTACAAAATGTTGAATGAGTGTAAGTGCTACGTCAAATTAACCAAAAACGTATCATAAAAAGAACTTGTGAAAAGAACCCTATAAGACTCTCATAGAAACCGTGGCACAAAAAACCTAAGGGATATAAGAACATTGACCATGATAAAATTGGAGTATAAAATGGGAAATTGGTCCTAATTAATACTATGAAACTCCTCATAAACCCATAACAAGAAATTCTTGATAATCATCAAGATATCATGACCATATCAAAGTGAGGCTTAAACTTCTCTCACATGAAGAAAAGTACCAAGATAAAAGGGTATTTGATTTAGTGGTATCGTAGTCTTTGACCTCCTAGGAGGTCAGGGGTTTAAACCTCACCAAAAGTTAGAGAATCTGTTGGACATGCTCTAAGTAATGCATATTAAGACGTTTATTACGACACGCATATTACAATAAAACAGCACAAAAGGTGTAACAATACTTACCAAAGATATCGGCTTGTACACAATTGTGGAGAACCTTACCACAAATCTCCTCTGTCCAATAAATACCAGTCATCGTATCAAAATTTTGATAGAGATGCTTCACTATCTTCTTTTTTCCATATAAGCAAGCCATGTAGAATGGCATCCGGTTAAGCCGACCCGAAACATCCAGCAAGGCTTGATGCTTATTCACCATAGTCATTGCAATTTCAAAATTTCCGGCTGCTATTGCTACACACAGTGCAGTATTATAATCTTTGTTCTGTAGCTTTAAGTCTTCATATGTCATACGATCCATTAGATTTTTGACAAAGGATCTTAACAGTTTGCTGGTTTTTGCAGATGCTGCAATGTGGAGTGCAGTATCATAATTTTCACTTATACCAAATCGTACCAAGTCTGGCTGTCGAAAAAGGAAGGGTTCAACAGCCTTCCAATCACCTCTGATAGATGCATTATAGATAGGGACGCAAATATTGATGTAATCAATTCTCCTTCCTTTATAGTAATTCCAAAAAACATGGTTAACTTAATAATATAAATAGAGAATGAAAATTGAAAATTTATGTTTAAATAAAATATAAAATACAAGTGATGGTTGAACATGTCTTACTAATTTGAAACGTACTGATGTCAAATTGAAATTAAAAAACTCTTTTTTGTAAAATTTGTTTGAATAAAAAAATTATAATATAAATATATTTAGATTTAGAAATAAATATTTAATTTATATAGTTTATATGACGATTTTTTATAAAGATTATGATAACGTATTTTGTTGGGATAATCTTGAGTACTACACCGACAAACTTTTGTGTTGGTAATTTCTGACGAAACAGCGATGGATGGCCACGAAAAACATTTTTCTAATAAATTTAAAATCGTGAATTTAAATTGTTTTTACGTTCTACTTTTTTATGGATTTAACACCAATATTTATGGATTTGGTGTTACTTATTGGAGATGTCTTAAGCAGATCCTATATTGGTTTTCAAGCGTGGATCGACCTAATTTGCTATTCGTTTTGATCTTCTAATAGGTTTTGTAGGTAGTAGTAATGCACCTGTCACTACAACAAAATCGGATTTATAGGACACCAAAGATGTCCAAGTGTCCTAATATACTACTTTTTAAGACTTGAATTTATACTACAAACACTTACACGTCCTATACAAAGGTGATGTAATAAGTTTATCATATGACGTTTTTGGACGTCTTAAAAAAAATAGGACACTTTTGCAACAAAGTGTTTTACCAGCTCTTTAATAATACACTATTTGAAAAGATGTATTTATAAGACACTTCTTAAAAATATCCTATAAAAGGCTAACAGGACGTTTTTTGTTTCAAAAGCGTCATACAAAGCTTGTAAAGACGCCTAAAAACGTCCTATAAACTTATTACAAGACCTTAAGTGTTAGATCTTATAAACTTAGTTTCTATAAAGTAGCTTATTACAACGATTAAACAATGTAAGTGTTCTACAAACTCGATTTTGTTGTAGTGTGGTAATGTTAGTAAAGACGTATTTCAAACAACTTTACATAACACATCGTGTTAATTGATAAATCGTAAGAAACGATAAATTGATTATAATGATAAGAGAGTTTACCAATTAGATCTCCAGAAGGTAGGTTTGGTGAGGTTTGCATTTTCTTGTGGTGGGATTAATCCAATCAATTGAATTGAAGTTGAGGTGGGAATGAAGAGTTGAAGGGATAGAAATGGATTTATACGATGATGGGTGAGATTAAGTCCAAGGTTTATAAAAAAAATTTGCATAATTAAGGTGGGATCGAATCGTCATAATTGTTAGTTATACCAAACCATGAGTTGCTAAGAAAGTCAATGACTAGGGGAACATGACAATTTGTTTTTTTTTAAGGTGGTTAGATATCGAAAGTAATTATTTTTGTATAAATGTTCATAGATGTGATCATGCATAATAAACTAAGAAAAACAGTTGAATATGATCTACTTTACAACGAGTATGGATAAGCTTTACCAATTAGTTGATGATGAAATAAAGAAATTATGAGTAGAATAAACACCATATTCAAGGTAACTAATATATCGTTAATATTTTGATATGTTAAAGTGTCAACACGACCAACCTGACTAACATATACTAGAAAACAAGGTATCATCAGCGAGGGAAAAAATCCCTCGCAGATCAGCGAAGGATTCTGGGTTTGGCCATTCATTCGCTGATCTGCGAGGGATCAGCCAGAGAATTTGATTTTGGTCAGTTCCCTCGTAGATTAATACAAATTAGCGGCGGATTAGCGAGGGAAAATCCGTCGAAGAAAGTCCATGAAAATTTCCTTGATGATCCGTCGTTAAAAGTTCTCTCGTTGATCCGTCGCTGAAAGTTCCCTCGCTGATCCGTCACTGATATTTTCCCTCGCTAATCCGTCGCTGAAAATATCCCTCACAAATCCATAGTTGATATCCCTCGCTGATAGTATTCGACGGACGAAATATCAGCGACGGATGACCCTTTTAGCGACGGATTTGCGAGGGAAATTTCTCTCGCTGATACTCTGTATTTTTGTAGTGTTATAACCCGCAAGGTTTGGTCGGGTTTGTACTTTTGTCTGAGTTAAGTTAGTTTATTTAAATGTTTTGAACTTGATCAATCTAACTCATGTTCACTCTTATTATAATGGAGTATTTAACAAATATATTTGAAAATTATATAGTCTTTCTTTAAAAACATGAAAAGGATATAGTTGAAAATGAAGGATGTTGATCTTATGTAGCAACTAACGGTGACATGCATGTGTTGCGATAATGACGGCTATTTGCTAATGTTTAGCAACATGAAATATATACTTTTTTAATGTTGCATTTAGTCAATGCTATGAATTTGTATTATAATGTCATTTGTTCTTTTTTGTAAATTAACAATTTTTTTTTATTTTTAATCCATCTATATCTATATA